ATTCTAAATATTGTATTCTAACATGGAGCTGAGAGTGGCAACTCTGTACACTTCACACTGTTCTCCTGTACTCTTGAACTCACGTACACTTGACTATTAAATCTAATCTAATCTAATATTTTTTTCAGACTCCTTAGTAAATCCGGCACTCCAAACAGGCATAGTACTTTCAACAACAGGCCTTACATAACAATTAAACACAGTCAATAGGTCAGTTGTGAAGCATGCTGTAATGCTTGAAAAACAGCATGTGAAATCTTCCAATTGCTCTCATAGGCATTTAACACACATTGTAATCCCATTTGAGAGATCACTTTGACTTCACAGTCCACATAGTTGAATGCACATTGGTCGCTCAAACTCAACATTATCTAAATTGATGAGAAAGGGTTTGGGTGGATGTGCGAGAATCACAATTCATTAGCTTTGTACTATTGGAGTCTTAGTCTCATGTGATCTGATGCCCACTCACTCAATGAATGCAGGATTTCCTAAATTTGACATTGACACCCCCAAATTAGCTTCTGGCTCCTGTGTATAAGCCATTCATAATACTTGCTCCTGTAAACAAGTTAGAACTTAATCCATGTTGCAAAACACTTTACAGAACTCATTTACTGTTTCCCTTGTGAATTGCAGCATTATCAATAACTGTAGGTAGTGTCTCTTAATCTGTAATTAGGAATAACCAGGAGTGGGTGCCGGCCAAATCTGGTTCATCTGGGCATGCCTGTATCCCTTTGTTTCCATTCTCTTTTAGGATGTACATTTACAGGATTTTTCTTGGGAAAAGAATTACGGCCTAATTGAGTACAAGTAGCTGTGCCAATGATCGAGTAAAGAACATTTTCTGAGTCATGCCTATCTGCATCATCTGCTGTGTATTTTTTTCACCTATTTTTCTACTCAAACTATTCAGAGATGTTATTACACACCTCTGCAGCAGGTGGGACTTGAACTCAGGCCTCCTGATCCAGGGGTAGGGACACTACTACTGCACCATAACAGGGCGCATGATCTGCTTTGTATATATATGTGTGTCCAATTGGTGATAATAGCTACAGGTTACTAACAAGATTAAAGACAATTTACTTGCAAATGGAATTACTCCTATACCGTTTGTATTGTCGCTTGATACTAAACACTCAATATGTTTACAAAAGTTTTCAGCATTTAAAAATCCAACTAAAAATTGTAGGCACTATTTTCACAGCAAACTTTTCACTTCAGATAATGATGTAACACCATTGTTTAGAGAGGAAATAAGAAAGAATGGCTTTTGAAATTATTGCACATTGCAAACTACACTGCTTAGGTTTGTAAAATAGATATCAAACAGTCACAGGTTTGCAGAAATTCTAACCACACGTAGGCAAGAAAGGAAACAACATTGCAAGTTATCTTTAAGTAGGGATATACTTCAACTGGTCTCATGCAAGGACTACAAATAACAACTAATATTTAAACTCTGGCTTATAAAATTCACAACTACACAAATAATAATGGCATGTGTTTCAGAACAGTGGTACGGGCGTTAAAAAAGTCAGAAGGTGACGATGTAATGGAATTAGCTTGCAAAATTGATTTTTTTTCCCAGTCTTGTTGGCACTGCGACTGGGGCATCAAATCCAAATTCAAATTCAATAACATCTCACTTCAGCAGGGGTGTTTAAAATGCACAGCATGCTGCTCCTGCAGTGAGCTGGATCACAAATACGTCTCTGGCTAAAATAACACTGATGTCAAATGGGGGACATTTTGGCCACCAAAATTAGCTGTTTAAGCTGAATGCAATAAACGATTGCAAGTTCTGAGAGATTTGAAACAATTGTCCCTGTAGACAATGAATAGAACAAAGTGAAAATGCATTTCAGGCCTCTGGATATTGAACCTTCAAGTCTCTCAGGCTACTAAGAAAAGAAATCGGAAGAGAAAAGTAAAAATGTTACTCTGCAGTGCACGCATCTGGACACAGTCCTTAAAAACTACTCACTACTGATGCTGAAATTGGTCATTCTCTTTTTGGGTGTGGAGATTGTGTTTCACGACCTGATGGCATCCATCAGGTGGTAGCACACAAATTTCATCCTGTTTCCTGGTGTGGATGGTTGGTGGGTAGTCCAATTTGACCCTTGCTGTTGGTTGACTGCACACCCAGAGAGTGCAAGAATGTGGGAAACCAGCACAAAGCCTAGTTAGCCTACAGTTCATAAAAGCAGTCTATTACTTTAAAGGGAAACTGCATGTTAACGATGCCTATTGCACGTTGATATTTACACAATCTGAATAAGGAATAGAACAAAAGACAGCGCTCCCTAGAACACTGATGCAGCCCTGGAGGCATCCATGACTAAAGTGGACAGGAGAAGAGAGGGGAGTTTATCCTAGGGAACCAGGAGGCCCTCAAGAGCAACACTCGGAAGACAGTAGAAGTAAGTGGCAAGAGAGGTCAATGCTGCGGTCTGGTTCCAAAGAAATAGCAGCAGCACTAGAAATGCTTAATATCATCACATATACCATCAAGGTCAGTGAATGTATCTTTACATCATATCTCGTACTTACCCATCTACTTACAACGCACACATCTCAAAGTATCACGTTCCTATTAGTAACTCAGCAGTATGCATGACCATTCAGGACTCACACCCAGCAAACTAGAGATTCAGTTAAAATACAGCACCACAAAAGTAATCATCTCTGGATAATGGAGCCAGAAGGAAAATTGATATTATTGATATTGCGTAAGTAAATTCAAAGAGCTGAAAGCGTACCTCAAAGATTGGTGTGAGAGAATTGAGCTTTAATTCATGGAAAAATGGCCCCTGCAATGGGGAACAAAGACGAAGTATTAAATAAAAACCGAAAGAACTGTGGATGCTGTAAATCAGGAACACAAACAGAAGTTGCTGGAAAAGCTCAGCAAGACTGGCAGCATCTGAAGAAAAAAATCAGAGTTAATGTTTCGGGTCTGGTTCTGAAGGAGGATCACCGGACCCGAAACGTTAACTCTGATTTTTTTCTTCAAGGATGCTATACTGTTGGGGTGGCCACCATCTAAACAGAAGCAGGGACTTAGCAAGGTGTATAAGTATGATTTGTAAGTTTGTGGATGACACCAAAATTGGTGGTATAGTAGACAGTGAAGAAAGTTATCTAGGATTACAAAACGATCTTGATCAATTGCGCCAATGGACTGAGCAGTGGAAGATAGAGTTTAATTCAGACAAATGTGAAGTGTTGCATTTTGCTAAGATGAACAAAGGCAGGACTTACACACTTAATGGTAGGTCCCTGGGGAGTGTTGTTTATCAGAGAGACCTAGGGCTGAAGGTACATAGTTCCTTGAAATCTAATCACAGATAAACAGGGTGGTAAAGAAGGTATTTGACACACTTGCGTTCATTGCTCAGCCCATTCAGTGTAGGAGCCAGGATTTCATGCTGTGGTTGTACTGGAAGTTATTGAAGCCATCTCTGCACAGGTCTGGTCACCTTGCTTTGGAAGGATATTATTAAATTGGACAGGGTGCAGAAAAGATTTACAAGGATGTTAGCCAACCTGGAGGGTTTGTGTTATAAGGAGAGGTTGAATAGCTGGGATCTTTTTCAGTGGAGCATAGGAGTGACCTTATAGAGGTTTACAAAATCATGACGGGCATGGAGAGGCAAAAGGTATTTTCCCTACGGTGGGGGGAGTTAAAAATTAGGGAGCATAATTTTTGGGAGAGAAGAAAGATTTCAAAAAGGAACCTGGGAGCAACTATTTTCAGACAGAGAGTGGTTCATATGTGGAATGAACTGCAAGAGGAAGTGACTATACTTGCATTTCCACAACATTTAAAAGACATTTGCATAGGTACATGAATAGTAAAGGTTTAGAGGTATAAATTCCAAAAGTAGAAAAATGGGACTGGTTTTGTTTAGGAGAATTAGTCAGCATGGATGAGTTGGACTGAAGTGCCTGTTTCCGTGTTGAATGACTCTATGGCTATGATTGTGGGGAAGGTTCTAAGCAGGATAATATGGGCAAATTTGAAAAGTTAAAAAGAGAAAAGGACAAAGCAATCTTGCAGGGTAGCAATATGAGGTGATGACAACCAGTGTATGGCAGGAAGAAACAGGCATACAAATATAAGAATACACTAGCAAGTTAGGTTAGAGTAGGGAAAATATTAAAATTAGTAAAAATGCATTCAAAGTTCATAAGAAGCTAGATGAAGTGACAGCAAAAATAGAAATAAATGAATACGGTATGATTGCCATTATGCAGACATGACTACAATGTGACCATACCTGAGATCTGAATATTCAAAGGTATTTTTTCGGAAGGAGAGAAAAGGAAAAGTGGAGCCCTTCTGTCAGTTAGCAACGAGATTAGTACAGCAGCAAGAATTCATCTTGCTTTGTAGGAACAAGATGTAGAATCACTTTGGGTGGAGATAAGAATAGCAAAGGAAATAAGTTACTAATTGTTTATAGGCCCTTTGACAGTAGCTACACTGTAAGGGTAGGTACATATCAAGCAATAATGAGATCTTGTAAGAAAGATACTGCAATAATTGTGGAGATTTTAGTTTTCATATAGATTAAGGATGAGGTTATAGAGTTTGTTTGGAATAGTTTTAGGACACTATGTTCTGGAACCAAATAAGGTATAGGGTATTCTAGGCCTAGTAACATGTAACGAGACAGAATTAATTAATGGTCTCTTAGTAAAGGATCCTCAAGGGAAGAATGATCATAACATGGTAGAATTACATAACCAATTGGAGGGCAAGAAACTTGAATCCGAAACTAGAGTCTTAAACTTAAGGCAACTACAAGGGTACAAGGATAGAGTTATCAAAGTAGAACTGGAAAATAGATTAAAAGGTAAGAAGATAAAGAAAGCAGTAGTAGATATGTAAAGATATTTTCTATTGAGAAAGAAGATGAAGGTGAGGTGAAGGTTCAAATTATATTGTACCCAAATTTGCTGAATTTACAAAAAGAGGTAAGAAACTAAGCTGTCAAGAGAGGTAGAAAATCTGCAAAAGAATAGAAATAGGTTAAGTGAATGGATAAACAATTGGCACATGGAAAAGAGTTCCCTCTACTGTTGAAGTAGAAACTGCTGTTCCCTTTGGGATTTGGTATTCTTGTGATTCTGTCCTGATGAATACAAAATGGAAAGTTTCAATAGCTTAATGCTTTTCTGGCAGTTCTGTACTACCAAGCAATAAATTAGATTTTAGGAGATTATGCTTCATATTTTTGGGCAGGAGTGCTTACTTCCTAAATTGAAAAGAACAATGTTGTATCATTTCAATATTGTTATGATTCCATTATAATTTTTTTTCAATGAACTAATTGTCAAGTACCAATTAATCAAATAAACTTTGGTATTGGAAAGATCTTTTTGGGAAGCATATGCTGTCAATCTGTTAAGCTAGCATTTAAAACTTCAATTTACATTGGGCTCAGTGCAATAATACTGTTTCCTCAGTTACCTCTGATTCAGTTGTTACGATAGCACCAACAACAACTCAAGTGTTGTTAATTAGCTATGCTCCACGCACAACTCAATCATAATGAAATATCAAGCTGAACTAAAATTAACAAAGCCAGTTCTCGGGGAAAGAGTCAGACTTCTATTTTCTGCCGTTCGAGATAATAAATGGGTTATGAAAAAGTTACATTTGAAATAGAGATTAACATTTCCTATTTATCATGCTACAAATTTCTGCTTAGTATTTAACCTCCTGTGAGTCATTCAAATTAAAAAAAAAATTAATATTTGTTTTCATGATATAACTAATGTATTTCAGGCAGTATGAGTAACAATATTTTACGAACAATCATATATATTACAGACAAGAAACTATTACTGGCTCCACTGATGGATAGGAACTTTAATCCCTCCCCCATCCACAATGTGTGGGAGAGTATTGGGTCATGCGGATGGAGGTTAAAAATGTGAAATTGTGTGATATGATCACAACATACTCATTAAACAGCCAACACCAGTTTTTAGGTTTTGACGGCATGTCATACGTGTGCCCCATTTGAGAGGTAAGACCTCAAATTACAGAATTTAAATCAGGTTCCCAAACAGCATTTGAGGTTCTGTCTTAAATTTCGTGCAGGTTGGCTGGGGTTCCCAGGGCTTGATAAATATGATAGTTCCAGGGAGGCAAAAGCAACTGGATCAAGCAGGTAACTGATTTTGTTTGAACTGGTCATGGACCAGACTAAGCAGGACTGCTTTCCCTAGTCCCACAAGTAAACCACTGCTGTGATTGGCCAACCAGCCCTCCCCAACCCTAGTTAAACCCATCACCCCAAGCATTACGCAATGTGATTTCTCGTATTTTCAGCACTTTTTAATCAAACAAGCTTATATACCCCTGGACCCAAGGTTATTTTGCACATTGTCTCTCCCTGTGTGCACTTGATGCCCACTTCACACAAGTTGACCTATGGCCTGTTCAGGCAACTGTTGTTTCAGCTGATGTTTAAGTGTAATTGGTTTGATGGTTAGGCACTTACCCAAAGATTTATCTTT